TCCAGTCATCATTTCTACAGGGTCAAGCAAACAAATGCTATAGTCCAAAGGGGCAGTCGCCTGGCGGCAGGGTTCTCAGAGATGGAACAAGAGCTTGAAAGGGAATCTAGGGGCTGGTAAAATTCTTGCAATCCAGGCAGGCCAGCTGGCTTTGGGAATAAGGGGAGTGTTTGTCTGAGAGCTGCTGGCAGAAGGTAAGCAGTAGCCAAGACAGGGATCAGGCAAAGAAGCCCATTAGGATAAAGAAAGTGAACAAGACAGATATTTAAGTGATGATGGGGGTAAGAGGCCTGAACTGCGTCATAGAGTTGTGTGTGTTTGCTTCCCTTCCAGAGGCATGTTTCTAATCCTTTAAGTCTCAAGTTCTCACTATAGGTGCAGTGCCCAGAGCTCATAAGCATTTCCAAGTCCTATCAAATCATTTGAGAGCTGGACAAGAAAATGTCCTGGCTCTAAAATAAAAAGCAAACTGTAAAATGAAATTAATAAATATTTCAAGAGGAAAATTATACAAATTCGTTTAATTCTTTTCATAACAAAACACTGTGCTTTTCCTGTGGGATAGGGCTACATTTTCCAGTGTTTGATAGGATGTGGGATGAGGCCTCTAAAAGATAATCAAGGGTTTATGTAACCCTTGAACTGGCCCTTTTGCTTGGCATAGTTCAGGCAGGGAAGATCCAGTGTGTTAAGACTTTCAGCAAGGTTGGGCAGGCAGAGTGGAAGGCAAAAGCCCAAGTCACCATAGCCAGAAATGTAGGGGAGGGGAGGAGAAGAGACTGGAGGGAAGGCTGTCTGCGACAGTTGCAGAGGTTGGCTTGACTAAGTGCTGAGAGATGCAGGCACAGAGCCCCTGGAGATGGTGCAGACTGGTTTCTAATTTTGGAAGTGGTCATACCAGGGTTTCCAATTCAGCAGGCAAGCTAGCAGTGAAAGACTGAAATGTAGGAGAACCATCTGGAGGCTGGTGGCCATTCAGTGTTGTGTAGGGGGATAAATACAGAATTGACAAAAGCAAGACAGCAGGGCTTAGTTTCTAAAGTGTGGAGGCAACAGGGAAGTGAGGACAGAACAGGAGAATCTGGTTCTTCTGACGCACCAGAGCAGTGGAAAATCAGTGAGTCAAGGAACACTGAGGCCCAGAGGTTCCAAGCCTCCTGGGTTTACCTAGTATCTGATTGGCCACAAGGCAATTTCAGGAACACCACAGAAGGTCAACCAATGAGACTGGACTTCTAGATTGCTTGTCTGGGAGCAGAGCCTAATTCTATTCTACATGGATCCTCCCTGGGAGGAGGAGCACCTGAGTCTAAGTGGACCAGGTTGTGATTCAATCTAAGATTAATCTGGAGACAGGACCCCTTTGTGTGTCCAGAGAAATAGGCATGGAATTGCCGTTTCTTGAGTCAGGTTCCAAGGTGAGTGGGGTGAAGTGGCTCCAATTTAGGAGAAGGACACAAAGACAGGAAAACACCCAGTGTGTACTGCAGGGACAGATGTTTAAACAAACTCCTCTAGCCAGGTACTGCCCTGATAGGGAGGAGGGTGTGTCTTTCTGAGGCGACCACAGACCCTGACCTGGAGACATTGTGATGACTGAGCAGAGATAAAAGAGGAGGAGACTGAACAGTTGTACCTCTAGAGCCAATTAGGGCTGGTGCAGAGGCTGGTGACCTCTGGCTGAAGAACAGAGTGGAGAGCTTTAGACTTTCCCTGGGTCTGTATCCAGGGTCCAGGGCCAACCAAAACTTCTCTGGTTACCTGAGAGCAGAAAAGGAGCAGGGCAAGTGCACCAGCAGGAGAGAGCTTAGCCAGCCGAGCTGAGGCGAGAGGTCATTAGGGACTAGATCATGGTAGCAGTGACCACCTGGATTCTGGCAGAGTAAATGAATTCCAGCAACAGTAAGTGACTTTGGATAAGAGCCCTCAGCTGATACCTGGAGGGATGCTGTAGGGGCTTTGGATAATCTTGTAGAAGAGATCATTTTTATTGTTTTTCTTTTATTACACTATGAATAGAGGACCTGCAGTTAGGGTGGTCAAGACTTTTCCCGGATGATATATTCCCCAGCAGAAGTACTGCTATTTATAATGCATGAGGCACTTAACGATACAGAATCTATGGATTACTAGCATTTCAAGAGCGTCAACCACGTTTTAAACCTAGTTAAAATGAATAGATGTAGCAGTATACCAACTATTCAAATTATTCTTCACATTTTTCACAAGAAAAACAGCAAAAATTATCTCTCCTATAGTAGACCTGGCAGATTATCCAAAGAACCAAAGCAGTACATATATGAATGTGTATTTAATTTGAAACAAAGAAGCATTCTGAAATATTTGACATAATGTGACTAGGGACATAAAGGTAAGGGTGTCAGCTGGGCACTGTGGCTCACGCCTATAATCTTAGCATTTTGGGAGGCCAAGTCAGAAAGATCACTTGAAGCCAGGAGTTCCAGACCAGCCTAGGCAACATGGTGAAACCCTGTCTCTACAAAAAATAAAATGGAAAAAAAAAAAAAAAATAGCTAGACTTGATAGTCAGGAGGCTGAGATGGGAGGATCGCTTGGGCCCAGGAGGTTAAGACTGCACTGAGCTGTGATTGCATCACTGTCCTCCAGCCTGGGTAATAGAGCAAAACACTGTCTCAGAAAAAAATAAAATAAAGAGAAAGGAAGGGTGTCAATGAAAGAATCAAAGGACTTAAAAATGGTCCTGTTCTCAGAACTCAGGGTAGGCCCTATTCTGAGTTTCCCGAGAATTCTCTGGGAATGATTTTTGAATGATAAGTTCATAAAATGTAAAGGTTCTTTTCTGTCATAGGCATCACTAGACAAGGGTTATTGGTGTAATTGTTTAAGCTCTGAAGTATTTTGTATCCTTAAGAAGCCAGTATCACATGACATAAAAGTATTACAAAACTAGGAATTCACAATCAAGGTGAAAAGCCAGAGGCAGAAAAAGAAATGGAGATGTGGGAAGAGAGAATGAAATTACATGTACAATAATTTATAAGTTATTAATATTAAACAAGGGTTTTGGTGTTTCCTTACAGATAAAAGGCCTAATATTTATTACAGTGAAAAATAATTGGCAAATGAGCTGTCTTTTCTTTCCACAATGATTCCAGAAGCTAAATGTCATTTTAATTGTATAAGTGTTAGCTTATGGAAGTTAGGACTGAGTTTGGTTTCCTCGAAGAAAATTTAGGAAAGGAGGGGATAATGATTAGAAAAACATGTGTGATGCCAGGCATGGTGGTACACATCTGTAGTCGCAGCTACTCAGGAGGCTGAAACAGGTAGATCACTTAAGTCCAGGAGTCTGAAGCTGTAGTGAGCCATCATCATGCCTGTGAATAACCACTGTGCTCCAGCCTGAGCAACAAAGGGAGACCCTGTCTGTTAAGAAAAAAAA